TCCATTTCAAGCACAGCCATAAGCTTGGAGATGTTCTGGGTTCCTGCAAGAAACCTGCTGGATTTTTTACCTATTATGTTTCCTTACCAATTCACCTACAATCCTTGAATCGGCCTTTCCATTGTGGGAGACAGTAGTAATAGAGGACACATTTCTCAACAGTTGAGTGAATTCACATTAGCTACCTGTGCTGATCAAACTAGTTCTTCACTTTTAAATATGAATGGAAAATAAAGATTTACTAGATATTTGAGGAAAAGCAACAGCATAAAGCATACTCACCAAGATGACTAGAAATGAATGCTAAGAAACCAAATCAACATAAGAAATAGAAATGAAAAATTAATTCTAATATCTTCAAACAGATTTTTAAAACTATTCCTTCCATAAACCAAGAACACACTGCCATGGTAAGAAGCCTTCAGGGAGAAACAAAGAGCAGTAAGAAATTAAAAACAGGCCAGACATGGTGGCTCACACCTATAATCCCAGCACTTTGAGAGACTAAGGCAGATGACCTGAGCACAGGAATTTGAGGCTGCAGTGAGCTATGACTACTGACTATTACACCACTGTATTCCAGCCTGGGTAAAAGAGTGAGATCCTGTCTCTAAAGAAAAAAAAAAAAAAGGAAAGAAACTAAACAACACAGTGAAATTGTAAAATTTTCACAAATGGTGAAAACTTTTTAAAATTTCAAAGAACTGGCAGGGCACAGTGGCTCACACCTTGTAATCCCAGCACTTTGGGAGGTCAAGGCGGGCAGATCACCTGAAGTCAGGAGTTCAAGGCCAGCCTGGCTAACAAGGTGAAACTCCATCTCTACTAAGAACACAAAAAAAATTAGATGGGCATGGTGAAGGGCACCTGTAGTCCCAGCTACTAGGGAGGCTGAGGCAGGAGAATGGTGTGAACCCGGGAGGCGGAGCTTGCAGCGAACTGAGATCATGCCACTGCACTCCATCCTGGGCAACAGAACAAGACACTGTCTCAAAAAAAAAAATTTTTTTCAAAGAACCTTTAAAGATGTTTTAGAAATAGAATGAACGTGGAAAATAGTACAAAAGAGAAATAAAAATAAATATAAAGAGGTTCAGGGGGCTGGACGCAGTGGTTCACGCCTGTAATCCCAACACTTTGGAAGGCCAAGGGATGTGGATCACAAGGTCAGGAGTTCAAGACCAGCCTGGCCAAGATGGTGAAACCCCATCCCTACTAAAAATACAAAAATTACTCAGGTGCAATGGCAGGTGCCTGTAATCCCAGCTACTCAGGAGGCTTAGGCAGGAGAATTGCTTGAACCCGGCAGGCAGAGGTTGCAATGAGCTGAGATCACACCACTGCACTCCAGCCTGGGCGACAGAGTGAGAGACTCTGTCTTTGAAAAAAAAAAAAAAAAAGGCTAACAAGCGCACTTCAGGCTTGTTTTCCTCTACCCCAAATGCCCAGCTAAGGCAGCCTAAAGCTCCTTGTATACTAAACAGCCATCACATTACAAGTGAGCAATTCAAACTATAGCAACTCTCTTTGAACAGTATTTGCAATTCAACAAGATTTAGTAAGACAGAACGTCATAAATAGCTGCTAAATGAATGAATGACTAGATTAAGAAAGATACCAAAAAAAATGCTAACTTCAGGTAAAGGAAAGATATTTGCTGAAAAAATGGCAGAGTCAGTCAAAAAAAAATCTTACCCTTAAAATCAGTATCTTGATGAAATTCCTATCAAAATCCCAACAAGGATTTTTATAAGCACAGTGAAGCTTATTCCAAAACTTATAAAAAAGGCACAGATGCTAAGAAGAGCTAAAGCAACTATGAAGAAGAATAAAGTAAAAGGAATCACTGTGTTCAATATTAAACCTTACTATATGGTCAGTCATCAAGATAACATGGTATTAGCAGAGACATAGACACATACACTAACGGAACACAGAAGATAACCCAGAAATAGGTCCACACAAATATACTTAAGTGATTTCTGACAAAGGTACAAAAGCAGTTCAGTAAAATTTTCACAAATTTGTTGAAAAAAAAGTTTTAACAATTGGTACTACAAGTAATTGTACATCCATAGGCAAAAACAGCCTCAATCTAAACCTCACACCTTATACAAGGTGAGCCACCACACCCGGCCAAGGCTGAGAATTTTTAAACTGACAAGGATATCATACCTTAGAATCAACTCCCGCCAAAATACTACAGGATAAAGACAGAGAAAATCAAACCAAGTTATATTAAGTAACAAGTGCTGAAAATCAAAACAAAAGAGAAAATCTCATAACCAACCAGAGGGAAAAAGATCAATTGCCTTCAACGGGGAGGATGATTTAAGACAAAAACAACAACAATCCAGAAGTCATCGGAATGGTATCTTTAAAGTGCTAAAAAGAAAAGGGAAAAAAAAAGCTCTCACTCCAGAATTCTGTCTTTAGTGAAAATATCCTTCAAAATGAAGAAATATAGACATCTTCAAACAAACAAACAAAAAAAAGATGAGAGAATTTGTCACCAAAAGATCTGCACAAGAAACAATAAAACTTCTTTGGGGTAAAGGCAAATAACTGTAGATGAAGCATGATACCGCAAAAGGGAAGAAAGAGCACAGGAAAGGGCAATTATTTCAGCAAATACGAAAGCCTACCCACTGTCTAAAGTCGTAATACTAAAGATACCTTGTGGGATTTAGAACACAAGGAGAAGAAAGCATCAAAACAACAGTACGCATGTGGGGATGGAGTAAATGGAATGATAGTGTGGTAATTTAATTAAGTTCTTACATACAAGTAAACTCCAAATGGATTAAAAATTTAAACATAAAATGCATAAAAATATTAGAATACATGGGCAGATTCTTTATAATCATGACGTGGGAAGGACTTTCTAACTATGTCTCCAAATGCTGTCAGTCCAAAACCACAAGGAAAAGATTAATAAACTAGACAACAAAAATAACAAAAATAACCACATATTTCTGCATAGAGAAAAACACCATGAACAATTATCAAAAGACAAATGATATACCAAAAAATAATGGCTTGCAACTCATATAATAAATAGGGGTAAAAGACATTGGGGGGAAAAAAGACCAGAAAACCCAAGAGAAAAATAGGCAAAAGATATTAACCATTAAGTTCACAGAAAAATAAATATAAGACACCCTTAGACACAGGAAAAGGTATTCAACCTCACTCAGTGAAGAAAATCACAGATGCAAACTATATGAAATACCACTTTTTATCTATCAGTTGCCCCTAATCCAAAAGTTGAACCACATATTCTATGGGAGGAGCTGTGAAGAAATAAGCATTCCCATGCATTGCCAATGGGAAAACAAAATAATACTATCTCTAGGACAGGCATGCCCACTAAGTTGATTAAGTTCTGGGAATTCATCTGATATATAAACATATACACACAAAATTATAAATGTACAAGATTATTCATTACAACATGGTTTGTCACAGCAAATGGCTGGAAGTAGTTAACTATAGACTTGAATTAGTATGCAATTGTGACAAAGAGAGAAAATGCCATTCATGTTCTGTCATAGAAACATCTGCATGCTGTTAAGCGAAAAAAGGAATAATGGAAAATAGTGTATACGTCAAGCATCAGAATCAGCTTAAGCTAGAGGTTTATCAGAACTTCAGAATCAAGGACCCCATCCATAATCCATAGCTACTAAATCAGAACCTGCATATTAAAAAGATTCCAGGGATGCACAATCACATTTAAGTTTGATATGCCCTAGAGATAACAGATTCCTTTTTAAGTAAACTGAGGAAGCAAATAAGAATATACATACATATTTTATTTAAACTAGATAAACAAACACTGGCAAAGTAAACCAAAAACTAGAAAAAAAATAGACATCTTTGGTAGGGTGACCATGTATTCCAGTATGTCTGGGATTGTCCTAATATATGCCAGTTGTCTCTGCATAAGTATTTATAAAACCTCTCACTCTCAGTGAAAATGTATCAGTTTGAATGATAAATAAATGTCACCCTACCTGGAGAAACTGCATGAACAGAGGGAGTGTGAATATGTATGTACATCTTTTGTTATCACTTACTTTTTAAAAAGTAAAAGTAATGTATTATTATGTTAACGTATTATTAATTCAAAAGCACTTTATTAAGGAAAAAAAAATAAGACCAGTCAGGAAAAACAGATCAAGAAGAACCTAAGTAGGCTAAGGATGGAAACACAAGGAAAAGCAATGCCTGGAGCAAAAAGAAAAGATGCCTTCATGACGACTAGGGAGGGAATCAAACTTAGGAAAGGACAGTTCAGAGGGTGGCATTATACACACCAACAGAGGAGACTCTCCAAACAAAGACCATGGTTAACAATATATGCAGCAGACCAGGGAAGTAACACAAAGGCAAAAACATCCACTGGCCTTGATTATGATTTGGTGGCCTTTGCCAGAACTGATTCAGGTGAGTTTAGGTGAGGGAACAAGGTTGCATTCATCAGATTGAAACACAAATGAAAAACACAGAAACAAGTCGGAACTGTCAGTGATTCAACCTAGAAATAAGAACAAGCTGACACAAAGAGTTAGGGGAAACTGTTCTGAGGACTTGCAGTCCCTCCATTCCTCCACATCGTCAAGGTTTTATTCCTGGATCAAGCAGGACCATCAAACCTCAGTGTCTGGTCTCCTGAAAAGCATATGCACTGAGTTTTGCTCTGTAACTGTATTCTTTGTTTCTACCAAGAAACACTTCTAGACAACTTACTGCATTTATTTCAGAATTTTTATTAGAACAATCACAGATAACATTACAATAATTTGGATAATTCTGCAAAATTAAAAATCCTGCATCTGATTTGCCAACTGCACTATTTTGGATTTGCTACTTCAGTTTTATTTCCCTTAATGTCAATTTTTGCCTATTTCTATTTTTCCATTTTCAAAACATAAATCCTTATAAACTTCAGAAATCCATTTTAAAACAAACTGGGAATAAAGAAACAAGAATCTCACCTGGGATTTGTTCATTTTCTGCTCTTAGTGGAGGAGGGAGAGCTGAAGGATTAGAAAGGAAGAATGTCAGGAGAGCCTTGGCCAGCCTTGCAGTTCGGAGATTCACCTGCCTATACAGCTCCACACACAAGATACTTACGTGTCCATGTGTGGCTCCGATATATGCTGAGCTCAGACATGACACTTTTCACTGAGTGAATGTAAATATTTCTTACTGATTTATTACCAATTTAGGTTCTGTGACACAGAAAAATTAAAAACATGAAAAGATGAGTTTAACAAGTAACAATAATCTAAAGGAAGAAACACTATGGGTTTGTCAAAATTCCTTGTAGGGAAAAAAAAAATTCAGGCCATATTGTTTACCTATTTACCTGTTAACACCATTAACGCCCTGAGGTCAGACAATGCAAAAAACCTCTAAAAAAAGGGATGCGGTGTTTAACCAAGTTTAAAAATGTTCTAACTTGCTAACAATTCCTCAAAAGGATCTTTTAATGAGAAACTGTGACATAGAGCAACAAAATAGGAAGCAGTGGCTAGGGAAACTGCAGACTTGACTTCTAATCTCAGTCTGCCTCTAACGAATGACAAGATCTGAACTAGTCACCTCCTCAAACTCAGTTTTGTTTTCCCGTTTTCAAATAAGATCAAAACAGATAACCCAAGTAGGACCTGCCTGCACTACCATCCGGCGGGGTATCAGGCCAGGAGAGGAGGAAGCTCAGCAGTTCATCTGGATGTGCCGGGTGTTCGCGGAGGGGTGATGACAGCATTTCCTTCGCTGTGGCCGTGAGCCTTTCACCCGTCCCTACCCTCAGACTCTCCAGAGGTGACACTCCTGTTAGCCTGCGCGCCCACCCCTCAACTCCAGCTCACCTCTCTCTTCTTAAACTTGTCCCAGACCTTGCACCGGCACACAGACTCCGACGGCTTCAGGATACTGTGCCATGATTACACATAATACATAAACGAACGCGCAACGTGTAAATAATTACTTGGGATACGAGGGCGGTCAGAGCCAGAAGGGGCCCTGGTGGGCAGCTAGGCCAGCCCCTTTGCTCCTGCACTCCACCCGCAGAGGCCCTGGGGCCGGTGCAGGCGCCGTCTCCCCCGGACTCTCCCAGGAAACGCACACCCAGTAAATACAGCACCTAAACAACGAAAGTGCTCAAAACAACCCAAGGCGGCAAGTATTCCAGATATCCGCAATTTACAGAGAGGAAAACCGAGTCTCCCGTGGGTAATTGTGTCTAATTCATTTGTCGCGCACCCGGCGCAGTCGTTCTCCCCCGCAGCCCCGCCCCCTCCCCGCGGGCCCAGCGCACAAAAAGCACACACGCAGATATCAAACGCCATGCGCACGCGCACGGCAAACGTCACACGCTACGCACGCGGGCTGTTCCCCCCGCCCCCCGGAGCCAGTTCCCTCCCCTTCGGGCTAACGCGCACTATCCATTCGCTGCTACAAGACTCAGCTGGAGGCCAGGCGCAGGGACTTGACGCATAAGGACCCCCGCGAGCCCCGGAACTCACGTTCCCACGCCAGACCTCATCCTTTTATGATAGAGACGCCCTCGCCCCACAGTCCCTTCAACGCCGCAGGCGCCAGGGATCCCTCCCCACCTTCGAGCTATAGCCGCTGCCCGCCCGCCTTTGGGGCAGCGCGGGGACCCCCTGGCCCTCGCCCAGTACTCCCGGGCTCACCCGCCGCTTCTCGCCGCGTGGACCCGGAGGCGAGGGGTTTCCCACAACGGACTGGAGGCCGAGGAAGGACACGCCAGAAGGGGAAGGCGGGGATGCACATGCGCAGAGGGAGCGGCCGAGCGCCCGAGTTAGGCTGGTGGCTGCGGGGCATGGAAGCGGCGCTACCTCCTAGAAGCGAAGCCCCAGGAGGCTGTTGGTCTGCTCTGGCCGCAGCCCTCAATTGTAAAATGAGGCTAATGATAGTGCCTAGCTAGTAGGAGTTTTATGAGAATTGGAGGCGCTTACGTTGTAAAAGCACTTAAACCGGTGTCTGACACATACATTGTTCAGTATATTTTTCAAGATTCCCCATTTTGTATCATGCTGGTCATCATAAATGAGGCTTTCCTACAAAACAGCCTTGTTTAGTGGGTTGAGAGATTACTGTCTCAGTTACCCACTCTTGCTTGGAACCAGGATTCTGTCAGTACCCTCCGAGGTTGTGGATCAAACCAATGTGCCTTTTAGACACAAGCCAGGAGAAGGAAAGGTGTGCTTGAATTCATTCACGAACATGCATGTTAATGTTTAACTGAAAGACTAGAAGAGAATAACGTCTGTGACCAATATGGTTATTCTCTGGAATAAGGAAAAATAGAAGCTAGCAATTCAAGACCCAAACATAAAATTGTTTATATGTTTAAAAAAAAAAAAAAAAAAAAGCTGTTTGAGTAACGTATTTGAAGAAAAAGCACGCTCTTATTTTACCCAAAACTACGCATACATTCTTTCATGTGCATATCTGGCATTTTCAGCACACTATGAGCATATGGGTGTGTTACAACTTTTCATTTAAAAAATCAACTGCTTGGTCATTGTCCATTTTTTTTAAACTTTTCATTTGCTCATAATTTCAGATTTACAGAAGAGTTGCAAAGATAGTTCCCATATGCCTTTCACCCAGATTCTATTAGCGTTAGTATTTTACATGACCATGGTATATTTATCAAACTAAGAAAATACCACGGGTATAAACTGCAGAGTTTATTCAGACTTAAGCAGTTCTTCCACTAATGCCCTTTTTCTGTTCCAGCATCCAATCAAGGATATTGTTACCGGGGGTCCTTGCTCCCAGAGCGCCCAAGATGGTGCTTGGCCACTTCCAAGATGGTGGCAAACCTCGTGTTCTCTGACCTGGGTTTCTTTGCCTCACAGATTCCAAGGAATGGAATCTTAGGCTATGCAGTGAGTGTTATAGCTCTATTAGAAGCCGTGGGTCATGGAAGAGAACTGAAACCCAGTGACTAGTGTTCAGCTCGATTAGGACAAACCCGGGACTTAGCTGTGCAGAAACAATGGCAAACCTTTAGCCAGACTGGAGCAGCAGTGGGCGCCTCGCTGGATCAGGAGCACAGCAGATGACCTGCCTTTAGCCCAACTCGGGAGCGGCAGTGGGCGCTTCACTGGATCAGGAGCACAGCCAACACCCTGCTGGATCCAGAGGGATGGAAGAAAGCGGGTGGGTCTGCAAAGGCGGCAAACAGCAGTGATGGATGAAGCTCAGTTGGAGCCATAACAAACACGTACCAGAAGAGAGTGCAGTTGCAATATTTAATAGAGTGAAAACAGCTCCCATACAAAAGGAGGGGACCCAAAGAGGGTAGCCCTTGTGGGCTGGAATGCCTGGATTTATATCTGGCTTATTGTCCCTCCTGCTGTTCTCTCAGGCAATAGATGATTGACTATTTCTTTACCTCCTGTTTTTGCGTAATTAGCATTTTAGTGAGCTCTCTTTACTACCTGATTGGTCAGGTGTGAGCTAAGTTGCAAGCCCCATGTTTAAAGGGGGATGTGGTCACCTTCCCAGCTAGGCTTAGGGATTCTTGGCCTAGGAAATCCAGCTAGTCCTGTCTCTCAATATCACAGTACATTTACTTGTCATGTCTTAGCCTTGGCCAATTTATAATAGTTTCTTGCTCTTACCTTGTCTTTCATGACCTTGATGTGGAGACGAAAGCATGCTCTCTTGACTTCAGTCCTCCTACCTTGGCTTCCCAAAGTGCTGGGATTACAGGAATGAGCCACCACACCCAGCCTATAGTTTAACTTTAAAACAAGAATGATAATGATCCGTTCCTGAAACTAACCCCCTCCTTGTTTGGGGACAAAAAACACCTTTGTAAAACTAGTGGAAGTCCACAAGTTTAGAATTATGATAGGGACCTGAATTCTGTAAGATGTAGGCATAAACCTAACCAGTTATTGCTTTATAACCTGCCTTTTTGTGACTGCTTACTACTCCAGAGTCACATAGCCAGTGGTCACAAGATTTATAACATCTCCAATTGTCCCTATAGATAATGTCACTATTGTAAAACTTAAAACTAGTATTTGAAATATTTTTCAGACTTTACATTCTGATGGACCAACTGGTGCCACTGGGACCAGTAACCCACAGCAAAAAATGGACTCAGCTGATCCTGTGACCCCCTTCAGGAACTGATTCAGCCCAAGAAGACAGTTAACACCACTGTGATTTCATCCCTGACCCGCCCAATCAGCATTCCCCATTCTCTAGCCTCCTGGTGGGCAGAAGGCTAGAGAGGTTCAAAGTTTTTCATCCTTGAAAAGCTGTAGCCTCCAAATTCTCAGGAAGGTAGATGTGAGAATTGTCTCTTATCCTACTTGCTTGGCCACCCTGCAATTATTAAATTCTTTTTGTGCTGCAATCTTATCGTTCTCAGTTTATTGGCTTTTTTCTAGGCAGCAGCCAAGAATAACCCAGTTAGGTGGTAACATTCTCCTGATTAGATTGAGGTTGTGAATTTTTAGGAAGCACCCCACAAACAGTATGTGGCTTTCCCATAGTGTGATATCAGATGGCATGATATCAACATGACTTTTTACTGGTTGATTGACCATGATTACAAGTATTAAATTAATTTAAATTTGTACTGAGGCTGCCTCCCTACCTTTAGGGCCGATGTAAGGAATCGCAACCTACCTTGGTATGTAAACAAACAAAACCTAGCTTGTTTTCTATCTACAAATATTCCCTGCCCACTTTATAGAGTTCTCTGAACCTCTTCTAGTTCTGAGTATTGTCTGATTCAAGAATCTTTCTTTGCTGAAATGAACTCGGCTAAACTTAATTTTCTAAAATTTGTCTTTTAACACTTGGTTAAGCTGGTGTCGGATAGGATTCTCCCTATTTTTCCGTTTCCAGTCTGTATGTGTAAGTGGGTCTGTATGTCCAGCCCACACTCAGTTGGAAAGGAAATAAGCTCCATTTTAAATTTGTGGTTACATTTTTAAATTACCACACTGATTAGTAAATTCAGGGAGAGATTCTTTGAGACTATGTAAATACCCTATTTCTGCTTTTCCACTGATTTTAGTTATCATTGGTGGATCTTGGCTGCAACCATTATTACTGTGGTGTTCCAAATGGTGATTTCCTGTGTGAACTATGAAAACTTGAGACAGGTCTCAGTTAATTTAGAAAGTTTGTTTTGCGGCTGGGTGCTGTGGCTCACGCCTGTAATCCCAGCACTTTGGGAAGCCAAGGCGGATGGATCATGAGGTCAGCAGTTAAAGACCAGCCTGACACTCTGTCTCAAAAAAAAAAAGAAAGTTTGTTTTGCCAAGGTTGAGGACGCAGGCCTGTGACATAGCCTCAGAAGGTCCTGACATGTGCCCAAGATGGTCAGAGCACAGCTTGCTTTTATACATTTTAGGGAAACATGAGACATCAATCAACATATGTAAAATGAACATTGGTTCCGTCCAAAAAGGCGGCAAAAGCAGGACAACTGGAAGCAGGGAGGGTGCTTCCAGGTCAAAGGTAGGTGAAAGACAAATGGTTGCATTCTTTTTGTTGTTGTTGTTGTTGTTGTTGTTGTTGAGATGGAGTCTTACTCTTATCACCCAGGCTAGAGTGCAGTGGCGCAATCTCAGCCCACTGCAAACCTCTGCTTCCCAGGTTCAAGCTGTTCTCCTGCCTCAGCCTCCTGAGTAGCTGGGATTACAGGCACTTGTCACCATGCCCAGCTAATTTTTGTACTTTTAGTAGAGACAGGGTTTCACCATGTTGGCCAGGCTGGTCTCAAACTCCTGACCTCAGGTGATCCACCCACCTCAGCCTCCCAAAGTGCTGGGATTACAGGTGTGAGCCACCGTACCCAACCTTCTTTCTCTTTTTTTCCCTACACAGTATCTTCTCACAGAGCAAGAAGTTTCAATTTTAATAAAGTCTAATTTATCATTTTTTTCTTTTATAAATTGTGATGTTTGTGTAAAATTTAAAAACTCTTTGCCTAATCAAGGCCACAAAGACTTTCTCCTACGTATACATCTGTAAGTTGTAGAATTTTAAGTGTATTTAAGCCTATAATTCATTTTGAGATAATTTTTTATGACATTGAAATATAAGTCAATATTCTTGTTTGCTTGTTTCTTTGCATATGTATTTTTCTTTTCTTTTCTTCTTTTTTACCCCCCGAGACAGAGTTTCACTCTTGTCACCCAGGCTGGAGTGCAGTAGCATGATCTTGGCTCACTGCAACCTCTGCCTCCCGGGTTTAAGCGATTCTCCTGCCTCAGCCTTTGGAGTAGCTGGAATTACAGGCGCACACCACCACACCCAGCTAAGTTTTGTATTTTTAGTAGAGACGGGGTTTCACCATGTTGGCAAGGCTCGTCTTGAACCCCTGACCTCGTGATCCACCTGCCTTGGCCTCCCAAAGTGCTGGGATTACAGGCATGAGCCACTGCACCCAGACTGTATATGTATACTTAAATGTTCCAGTACCATTTGTTAAAAAGACTATCCTTTCTCTACTGAATTGTCTTTGCACCTGTGTCAAAAATCAAATGACCACATTTGTGCGGGTTTATTCCTGTGCTTTCTATTCATTCCATTGATCTATGTGCTATGGTTTGGATATGTTCTCC